GTTTCACCATCACTCACTATAAAGGATGTTCAGTGACAAGTTTCACCATCACTCACTATAAAGAGCGTTCAGTGACACGTTTCACCATCACTCGCAATAAAGGACGTTCAGTGACACGTTTCACCATCACTCACTATAAAGAGCGTTCAGTAACACGTTTCACCATCACATTCTATGAAGAGCGTTCAGTGACAAGTTTCACCATCACTCACTATAAAGAGCGTTCAGTGACACGTTTCACCATCACTCTCTATAAAAGGTTATTCAGTAACACCTTTCACCATCACTCTCTATAAAGAGCGTTCAGTAACACGTTTCACCATCACTCTCTATAAAGAGCGTTCAGTAACACGTTTCACCATCACTCACTATAAAGGATGTTCAGTGACAAGTTTCACCATCACATTCTATAAAGAGCGTTCAGAAACACGTTTCACCATCACTCACTATAAAGGACGTTCAGTGACACGTTTCACCATCACTCACTATAAAGGATGTTCAGTGACAAGTTTCACCATCACATTCTATAAAGAGCGTTCAGTAACACGTTTCACCATCACTCACTATAAAGGACGTTCAGTGACACGTTTCACCATCACTCACTATAAAGGATGTTCAGTGACAAGTTTCACCATCACTCACTATAAAGAGCGTTCAGTGACACGTTTCACCATCACTCACAATAAAGGACGTTCAGTGACACGTTTCACCATCACTCACTATAAAGAGCGTTCAGTAACACGTTTCACCATCACATTCTATGAAGAGCGTTCAGTGACAAGTTTCACCATCACTCACTATAAAGAGCGTTCAGTGACACGTTTCACCATCACTCTCTATAAAAGGTTATTCAGTAACACCTTTCACCATCACTCTCTATAAAGAGCGTTCAGTAACACGTTTCACCATCACTCTCTATAAAGAGCGTTCAGTAACACGTTTCACCATCACTCACTATAAAGGACGTTCAGTGACACGTTTCACCATCACTCTCTATAAAGGATATTCGGTAACACGTTTCACCATCACTCACTATAAAGAGCGTTCAGTAACACGTTTCACCATCACTCTCTATAAAGGATATTCAGTAACACCTTTCACCATCACTCACTATAAAGAGCGTTCAGTAACACGTTTCACCATCACATTCTATAAAGAGCGTTCAGTGACAAGTTTCACCATCACATTCTATAAAGAGCGTTCAGTAACACGTTTCACCATCACTGACTATAAAGGACGTTCAGTGACACGTTTCACCATCACTCACTATAAAGAGCGTTCAGTAACACTTTTAACCATCACTCACTATAAAGGACGTTCAGTGACACTTTTAACCATCACTCACTATAAAGGATGTTCAGTGACAAGTTTCACCATCACATTCTATAAAGAGCGTTCAGAAACACGTTTCACCATCACTCACTATAAAGGACGTTCAGTGACACGTTTCACCATCACTCACTATAAAGGACGTTCAGTGACACTTTTAACCATCACTCACTATAAAGGATGTTCAGTGACAAGTTTCACCATCACATTCTATAAAGAGCGTTCAGAAACACGTTTCACCATCACTCACTATAAAGGACGTTCAGTGACACGTTTCACCATCACTCACTATAAAGGACGTTCAGTGACACGTTTCACCATCACTCTCTATAAAGGATGTTCAGTGACAAGTTTCACCATCACATTCTATAAAGAGCGTTCAGTAACACGTTTCACCATCACTCACTATAAAGGACGTTCAGTGACGCGTTTCACCATCACTCACTATAAAGGATGTTCAGTGACAAGTTTCACCATCACATTCTATAAAGAGCGTTCAGTAACACGTTTCACCATCACATTCTATAAAGAGCGTTCAGAAACACGTTTCACCATCACTCACTATAAAGGACGTTCAGTGACACGTTTCACCATCACTCACTATAAAGGATGTTCAGTGACAAGTTTCACCATCACATTCTATAAAGAGCGTTCAGTAACACGTTTCACCATCACTCACTATAAAGGACGTTCAGTGACACGTTTCACCATCACTCACTATAAAGGATGTTCAGTGAGAAGTTTCACCATCACTCACTATAAAGAGCGTTCAGTGACACGTTTCACCATCACTCGCAATAAAGGACGTTCAGTGACACGTTTCACCATCACTCACTATAAAGAGCGTTCAGTAACACGTTTCACCATCACATTCTATGAAGAGCGTTCAGTGACAAGTTTCACCATCACTCACTATAAAGAGCGTTCAGTGACACGTTTCACCATCACTCTCTATAAAAGGTTATTCAGTAACACCTTTCACCATCACTCTCTATAAAGAGCGTTCAGTAACACGTTTCACCATCACTCTCTATAAAGAGCGTTCAGTAACACGTTTCACCATCACTCACTATAAAGGACGTTCAGTGACACGTTTCACCATCACTCTCTATAAAGGATATTCGGTAACACCTTTCACCATCACTCACTATAAAGAGCGTTCAGTAACACGTTTCACCATCACTCTCTATAAAGGATATTCAGTAACACCTTTCACCATCACTCAATATAAAGAGCGTTCAGTAACACGTTTCACCATCACATTCTATAAAGAGCGTTCAGTGACAAGTTTCACCATCACATTCTATAAAGAGCGTTCAGTAACACGTTTCACCATCACTGACTATAAAGGACGTTCAGTGACACGTTTCACCATCACTCACTATAAAGGACGTTCAGTGACACGTTTAACCATCACTCACTATAAAGGACGTTCAGTGACACTTTTAACCATCACTCACTATAAAGGATGTTCAGTGACAAGTTTCACCATCACATTCTATAAAGAGCGTTCAGAAACACGTTTCACCATCACTCACTATAAAGGACGTTCAGTGACACGTTTCACCATCACTCACTATAAAGGATGTTCAGTGACAAGTTTCACCATGTTGTGTAGTAAAGTATAGTTTTGCCCTGAACTACACTCGTAACAAAAAGAAACGCACAGGGGATAATAGGAATGTTGATTTTGTTCATTCATAAAATATTCAATACAAATGCAATAGTTTTTATTGAACACTGTTAGGCACATGTTCGTTAACTGGTGTCACTTTTGTAGATTTATACAGAAAGTTTTATAAGACTGCACGAAGATGTCATGGAAAGGAAATTTAAAGCAGGATGCACGTGAAATTGATGCACAGTGACTATGGCTATAAAAGGTCAAACAGCAGTCAACATTCTATCCTATGTCGACTTATTGGAAGTGGGAAAATGCCGAGAAGGAATGCTGCCATTGGACGTCGTAAAGCTGCAGTTGTACGTCATTTCAGCATCCACCAGAGCATCTCGTTTATGGGATCGGTATACCCGGCTCAATTCAACTCAAGATCGTCCAAGAAGTGGTAGTCCCCGCCCTGCACAGGATCGCTACATCCGGGCCATTCATCTACGTCACCGAGATGGCAGGGCATGAGCCTGGTTTGAGGAGGGTAACGAATCAGGAATCGTCTGCGAGAGGTTGGAATTAGACCTAGAGGACCGGTATTCGTCTGTGTATTGAGGCGTTTACATCCACGACAACGTATGCGATGGAGCAACACGGTACAGGCAGTGTGATGATGGGGAGCCATATCCTGCAGCCGATGATCTGACTTGGTGGTGGTTCAGGGAAATCTGTCAGCAAACTGGTACATCGATCAAAATCTTCAACGTCACCATCTTCCGATAATCAACCGACAGAGGGAGTTGTTTCAACATCACAACGCCACACCACACACAGGCTTTAAACGGGGTATAACCAACGGGGTGACGACCTCAATTAAGGCAGTGATGTACACACAAAGGGTGACCACCTCAATTATAGCAGTGACGTTCACACAATAGGGTGACTACCTCAATTATAGCAGTGACGTACAAACAATAGGGTGACTACCTCAATTATAGCAGTGAAGTACACACAATAGGGTGACTACCTCAATTATAGCAGTGACGTACACACAATAGGGTGACCACCTCAATTATAGCTGTGACGTACACACAATAGGGTGACTACCTCAATTATAGCAGTGACGTACACACAATAGGGTGACTACCTCAATTATAGCAGTGACGTACACACAATAGGGTGACTACCTCAATTATAGTAGTGACGTACACACAATAGGGTGACCACCTCAATTATAGCAGTGACGTACACACAATAGGGTGACCACCTATATTATAGCAGTGACGTACACACAATAGGGTGACCACCTCAATTATAGCAGTGACGTACACACAATAGGGTGACTACCTCAATTATAGCAGTGACGTACACACAATAGGATGACTACCTATATTATAGCAGTGACGTACACACAATAGGGTGACCACCTCAATTATAGCAGTGACGTACACACAATAGGGTGACTACCTCAATTATAGCAGTGACGTACACACAATAGGATGACTACCTCAATTATAGCAGTGACGTACAAACAAAAGGGTGACGACCTCAATTATAGGAGTGACGTACACACAATAAGTTGACGACCTCAATTATAGCAGTGACGTACAAACAAAAGGATGACGACCTCAATTATAGCAGTGACGTACAAACAATGGGGTCACTACCTCAATTCAGGCAGTAGGCTACAAACAATAGGGTGACCACCTCAATTAAGGCAGTGGATGACATCGAATACTGTGCTTCCACAATACAAGATGTAGGGTTCAACAGATCGGGTGCAGTTGGATGTCATCAACAGTGTTTCAGTAGACTCTATATCAATATTATGGTCGTCAAAATGGCGGTTTACGTCCATATATGCTTGTTCGAACCACCACTAGGCACTGTTACTGACACGACACAGTCGGAACATGTGGGTTTAGTTCAGCTAGTTTTAGTTTAGCTCGGAGAAGGGGCGTTAGAGCTCTGCCTAAGAGGTGGCTGGGGATCCCAGGGGTTAGCATCAGAACCTTGACCCGAGCATGCCTACGTGATTACACTTCCCCGAGGCGTGATATAAGGACTAACGTGTCTTGTGAAGACGACATGGACGGCATAGTTCCCCGAGGCGTTGTATAAGGACTAACGTGTCTTGTGAAGACGACATGAACGGCATAGTTCCCCGAGGCGTGATATAAGGACTAACGTGTCTTGTGAAGACGACATGGACGGCATAGTTCCCCGAGGCGTGATATAAGGACTAACGTGACTTGTGAAGACGATATCGTGGGCATAGTTCCCTGTGGCGACATCAACGGCATAGTTCCCCGAGGCGTTGTATAAGGACTAACGTGACTTGTGAAGACGACATCAACGGCATAGTTCCCCGAGGCGACATCGACGGCATAGTTCCCCGAGGCGACATCGACGGCATAGTTCCCAGTGGCCTGATATAAGTACTAACGTAATTGTGAACTTAATGCTGACGAATTTAGGAAAATGATACTTTCATGCAGTTTCCCTGGAAATTCTCGACGATAAATTTACATATTTCGAGAAAGAAGTTTAAATATTGTGTATTTTACTCATATTGCAAGATGTTCCGTTAATGATGAATCAAGCCCCTTCATACCAACTGCAATCAATTATCCTTCAGCGATATCTCAGGAACAAAGTACCTTGTAACGGTTTAGACCACCATGTAGGCCTCAATTGTATACAACCATAAGAACATTCCTCAGTGCCAGAAAACAGAGCCGGCTATTGGTGGATGTGACCGTTATCTGCAGTCGAAGTGACCTACAACACAGGGACATTTCTCACAAAGGCCACATCAGTGACGGCAAGCACTGAAGATACGTGATCTACATTTCTCTCAAGGTCACACAGACCAAACACAGATCGCTGGTTTCATTTCATTGGGTTCCAAGTCACGGCTGTGCGTGAGCCTCCACGGTAAGTTCAATTTAAGTTGTAATTTAGGAAGTCACGGGGACGCCGTATTATGTGTAAAGCTAACTTTTACTAAGAGTAAATACACATCGGAAAGACATTGTTGCTGTTTTGGGTTGTGATTTAAGTATTTTCTTTGATCTATTACTTTGTTGTTTTGTTACAGTTTGCATAAACCGCCAGTTACAACCCACTTTATGTTCTCAACATCACATTCCTCTACCACATTCCAATCATAGATTAGGGGTCGTGTGGCTGGTGAATGTGTGGTCACATGCGGCATGAAATTAATCTTAAAAAAAACACAATTATGTCTTACTGTATGCGACCGTTTTGCATTGGGGATAGGAACTACATCACAATGATTGTACTTTTGACAACAATTACAAAACCATACATCACTTTTGATTCTGTTCATGTATTGTTCATGTAATAATATATCAACCAATCATAAAAGGTTCTTCAACAATAACAATGTTATTTTACCAAACATGTACAGGCAAGTGCCACGTACGGCACTGTAGCCCATATGCGTTTTTTCCATATAACAAAAAATACTTCTGAATTAATTCCAAACATCTATAGTGGAATTAATATGTTTTATCTTTCTGTGTTAACTAATATGACTACATAAAATAAAAATCTTAGTTGCCATACTATCGTCCATGTTTTAGTTATGGACTGAATCGTTTCCACAACTCAACCACAAAGTCATATGATTTGGATTTGAGGACTTGTCACTGATGCCCTAAGTAGACCTCAGTGCCGTAGCCTGCCCCCCAGAAGCATGGGGCCGGTTGACATGCTCATTCCAGTCGTACATTGAAAGTGGACACGTTTGTCAAGATATGTCAGTATGGTGTTGTGATATTCTTTCTTATTATTATCATTAATATTCAAAAGAAAGAAGCTTTTCAAAATAAGATATGCAATTACGAAAACAGAATCCTTAGCAGACAGGTGCTTGTGTTTTGTTTACATGAAGAGCGTCATGGGCCCCGGAAGAGCACGTTTGTGACCTGTGCGATATCCCAGAGATAACAGGCCTCCCCAGATCACCCTTATGTAGCTAATTGTTGTAGCTGTCTGTTTCTGGTAATAAACTGCTATTATTGAACACGAAAAGGAATAATCCCACGTCGTGTGTTTCCTCAAGGACTAATGTTCCGATTGAGAAGGTCTACACAAAAGAAGAAGTGTTATTAATCGTCATTAACAACATAACATATTCCTCAGTAAAGCTGAAGGGGTCCTTGTCGGCACAGGTACTACATGTAGCTACTATACCCCAGGTATGTTTCTGCAGACAGAAATATACCCTAAGCCAAAATCAGAATACAGAAACGTACCCGATTTCTAAACGAGTCCGTATAGTTCTCAACCCGAAACCGAAACCGGTTCATGTTGTGCCAGGTCGCCTGATTACGAGTGCATGCTGGGGAATACTGTGCAGAGCGGAATATGCAGAAGCTTGGATGTCTTCGGAAATCCAAACGTTGGTAGTTTTTAAAACAATATCGCAGAAAAAGAAGAGGACACAGTCATCGGAATCCCCCGCAATGGGGAATTGGAAATTCAAATATTTGTTTTGTTAATAACGGAAAAGAGAGATTAATACTTGTCCGTAATAATTAAATCTTTGTTAAAATTGGACTCATTGTGTCATAATAAATAGCGGACGAAGTAAGTCAAAGCAGGAGTATCCATGCCAGTGGACGAGCATTCTCTGTGGGGCCTCTCCCTGGAGTCTCCCTGGAGAGAAGCAATCTCCCGATAACAACATACAAATAGCATGGGTATCATGCCCTCCCAGTACTAGTGTGTGTGGTGTGTGGGTTGAGGGGGAGACAGAGCATTTTCGGGCCGCGGGACAAAGTGTGACAAAGTGCGTCAGCGATTAAGGAACCGGTTCAGCGCTCTGCGCAATGCGGAATGGACTCGTCCTTGGGTATGTTTCTGTTATTCTGGTTTTGGCTAAGGTACATTTCTGTATACAGTGAGAGAGTGAGTATGGTTTTACGCCGCTTTTAGCAATATTCCAGCAACATCACGGCGGGGGACACAAGAAATGGGCTTCACACATTGTACCCATTCTGTATACAGAAAAGTACCTGGGGTACATAATTTGCAAATTTTTAATGTATGGTGAACAATAACATCATTTTGGATTCTTGATTGTTGTTTGGATGTTCATGTAAAAGGCCATATACCGACGTATATGGTCTCAGCTCATGATCACTGAAAATATTTGGAATCGGGGTTTTTTCATATATTAAATGAACCCAGTCTGCCGTGGCGGTGTAAGCATTTGCCACAAGTGAAACACCCAAGCTAACAAAGTTGAAGCATAATGATAAGTAGTATGTCGGCGAACTTGCAGCAAGGCTGTGGTATGTTTTAACCGTTTCATGGAATTCAGTGCACGGCCGTAGCCTGGCCGATCAAATCTATTTGCGTCTGTACCGCTTGTGATCCGAAAGGACAAGCGGTCTTACTTCTATTGAGTACTATGAATGAAATGTTATTTTAAATCTTAGAAGAATATCAATCATCATCATATGAACACATGCTTGCCGTAAGAGGCGACTCATGGGAACGGGTGGCCAGGTTCGCTGACTTGATTGATGCATGTCATCGTATCTCAAATGGCGCGTGGATCGATGCGTATGATGTATGAATTGGACCTGACTCGATTAATTACAGGCCGCCGTCATATAGCTGGAATATGGCCGAGTGCGGCGTTAAATGGCAGACTAATTAAACAACACATAAACACATGTCAACGGAAAATGTAGACACTAAATCATCATTTCATAGTTCAATATTTGACAAACTGTACTAAAAACAGTCAACAGAGAAATAACAGTTATCATATGCCAATGGAACCCTTAATGTTGTCAATATGTCCATTATTGTAACCACATGCTTCTTATTGCCAAGTGTGGACAATGTGATTATATAGTATCTGAGTATGTGTATCTGCTTTGTTTATTGGCAGTTTTTATGGGGGGTTTTCACATATTTATTTTTCTTCAAGAAAGTGCTGCCATGTCATACGATTTACTTTTGTAAAATACAGCTTGCAGCAAATGTATTGTTTTGGGGTTTGTTTTTTTGTTTAACGCCGCACTCAGCAATATTCCAGCTATATGACAGCGGTCTGTAAATAATCGAGTCTGGACCAGACAATCTAGTGATTAATATCATGAGCATCGATCCACGCAATTGGGATCGATGACATGCATCAACCAAGTGAGCTAGCCTGACCACCCGATCCTGTTAGTCGCCTTTTACGGCAAGCATGGGTTGCTGGAGACCTATTCTACCCCGGAATCTTCACGGGTTGCAACTTTATTGAGAAACTTGTGATAAATTATATGTCCTGATAATGATAATATCATTATTTAACTGGTTTGCGCTACTTTTGATACTTGGAATTAACTATTTCCCAATGACATGTATCAGTAATGTAAATATGCATACATTCCAAAAAATAATTGCCGCAGACGATACGGAACAAATAAAGTATTTATTTTGCCACTACAATACTTGACATTGTTATTTGTATCTGGGCCCATGGCCTTCAGACTGATTGATTACATTCCGTTCCTCGGTAACATCATTGTTGTGCATTTCTGAGGCATCACATGTGGCGGGGCTCTGCATCAACGTTTTCCTGTGTGTACAATGTTGACATATACCAACCATAGATGAATAATTCGTGGCATTGCAAGAACATGTCTCACAATAAGGGATATACATACACTGTTATAGACACGGAGGAATACATGGCGGATAAGACACCTCTTACTTTGATCTGAAGCCGCGCGCTTCAGTGCAATGATTCAAATGTATAAATATAATGTACCTTCATTATATCGCGACGACAAGAACGCATAAATTATTATATCCATTTTGAACGCGTAATTACACAGGTAATTGAGATTATGTACGTTTTTCAAGTAGCTGATAAGGTGGCAGCAATTTAATCAGAATCACCATATTGCTTGGTATTGCGGCAACTTGCTTTTTAGAAGAGAAGCTGAGAAGCAGCAACTGCAACCTCGTCGTCAGGGAGGATGACAAGTATGTCTGGAGACAACCTTCTTTCAGCGCGGGGCTACAAGGCAATGCAGGTCCACAGCCCCCTGGTCCAGTACAGTCAGCTTGTCAGCAACGATGCCTACGACAAGGACACAAACTCTGAGGTAACGTTAAACGAAATCTTTCGTTATTACCAGGTCGCGTATATAGATACTTTCCCCCGCTATAGTTATAATATTACGTAATATATACCAGCGTCGCATATATGGGGTAACATTCAGTTATAATCCCACCATGGTCGCATGAAAAAGGTACAATTCCGTTATATCCCTACTATATATGGTATATATGGTAACACTACGTTATATCATCAGTGAAGTCTCATATACAATGTAACAATCGGTTATATCGCAACTGGTGTCACATACATAGTTTAACATTCTGTTATAACGCCACTCGAGTCACATATATAGTGTAACATGCCGCTATAACGCCACTCGAGTCACATATATAGTATAACATGCTGCTATAACGCCACTTGAGTCACAAATATAGTGTAACATGCCGCTATAACGCAACTCGAGTCACATATATAGTGTAACATGCCGCTATAACGCCACTCGAGTCACATATATAGTGTAACATGCCGCTATAACGCCACTCGAATCACATATATAGTGTAACATGCCGCTATAACGCCGCTCGAGTCACATATATAGTGTAACATGCCGCTATAACGCCGCTCGAGTCACACATATAGTGTAACATGCCGCTATAACGCCACTCGAGTCACATATATAGTGTAACATGCCGCTATAACGCCACTCGAGTCACAAATATAGTGTAACATGCCGCTATAACGCCGCTCGAGTCACATATATAGTGTAACATGCCGCTATAACGCCACTCGAGTCACATATATAGTGTAACATGCCGCTATAACGCCACTCGAGTCACATATATAGTGTAACATGCCGCTATAACGCCACTCGAGTCACACATATAGTGTAACATGCCGCTATTACGCCACTCAAGTAACATATATAATGTAACCTGCCGCTATAACGCCTCTCGAGTCGCATATATACAGTAACATTCCGTTATGTAACGTTCCGTGTGTCACATATGTAGCCGGTAGTATCCACGCACAATAATGAGGTCGACAGCATTTGGGATGAGACTTTTATTCAAGCAGGGATTATTATAGTTATTTCCGTACTTGTCTCAGATCTGCCAACAAAACCCTGGGTGACCATCATGGTCAAGAAACTAGCACTTTTTTACCAGTGCAGAAGCCTGATCGAATGCAACAAACAAAATGCAACAAATCCCATCCACGCGGCTCGTTTTCTCTCCCAAGTTGAACGACGAGCCACCCGTACAGTTCTTAACTACAAGATGCATTCCTTGCTTCTCCCATCTGTAACTTTAGGTTCCACACTTACCAAATCTGTAGCTACGACGACCTCAATGGTGTCATGGCCGTCATTGTCAAGTTTGTCACCATCTTCTTCCCCTGAACTTCACCTACGACTGGTTGGCTAGAACTAAGTAATGAGGAAATTTTCATTTCGTCATCATCACGGGAATGGTCAATTCCAGTACTTGAGGTATCACACGTGGTGGCCACTGGACCAATTTCAATGATTAAAACCTTTCACCATGAAGCTATCATAATCCAAGCCCGGAGGACCATCATCAATGGTGTGTGCATTAAACTGTAAACAGGGTCTTGTCCACCACTGCCTGTAGTCGCTCCAATGGAAAGTAACAAATTGTGACGTAACACTTCCTTTCTGGCCTGTACAATCTTCTCTCAATACAGTTTGCTGTTCTATTACAATATAGACTTCGTTTTCCCTTCATTCATGATGTGTGTTCATCGATGCTATCAGCAAACACTATGAGATCATCTAAATACATCGTACACATTTTTAAATGGACATCACTAGAAATCTGTTACATTTGCCTTTGGTAAGTAGCTATAGCATTAACTAAACCAAACGGTAGACTGTTAAATTCATAGAACCCTGAAGGTCCTGCTGTGAATGCTGTGCCAGGTTTTATGTCTCTCCTTAATTTCAGTTTGATGTTATCCAGACTGAATGTCAAGGACTCCGTTGACCTGAGACAATGAAAGCACACGGGAGCGCAAATAAATCCGACGATTCAAAGAGGGATAATCCACACAAATTCTGAGGGAAGGGCCCCTTTTGCGAACTAAAACCATGTTCGAAGCCCAAGGACTAAACGGTGACCTGATCACACTACAAGCTAGCAGCTGATTTTAATGTTCTTTAACCTCATCGTAAAGTCCTGGTGGAACACCCCTATGACACTGCCTTAACGGAACGTCATCAAACAAGTTTATCTTGCGAGGAACTGTTGACGCATGTCAAATATCAGTATCACCAGAGGAAAAGACATTAGCAAATACTCTACAATGAACTTTTCAATTCCTAAGTTGCAGCTGAGCTGTTAATTGACTTCCATTGTCTGTAAGGTCTACTTCATTTGTTTCGCCTATAAACCCTGGGGGTAAACGTGAAGCGATGGGCCTACTATCCTGAGAACTAAGTGTTCGTCCCTCAACATTGGTCTTGATCAGTTATCTTCCCCTCTGTGCACATGGTCAAGACGAACCCTACATCCTCGAGCACGATGACCAAAGTGACGACATCCCCGTCACTGAGGACCACGTGGATCAAAAGGATTTGTTGCCATAGATGTATTCTCACCCTTTGTCGTAGACCTAGCACGTTTCAACTCTTTCTCGGGTTCGTTTTCCGTGAAAACCCCCTTAGAAACAGTTGAAACATTTGGCAACCTGTCCTTAGTATGATGATCATGCTGAAAATCAGAGCTGATCAAACTCAGATTGTATCAAACTTGTGTTCGGGGCAATCCTTGATTCACCGGCGAAGACCTCCCCAAACGTTCTTTCTAAGCATCTCAGTAGAACTGAACAACATGCAACAACATGCTCTTGCTGAGTAAACTTGTGTGGCATTTGTTCTAATCTACTCACCGTAACAGTAACATCTTCACTTTCCTCCTGTTTCGCACTATATAAAATAGCAAGAACATCTTCACCTTCCTCCTCTGCACAGACGACACTCATACATTACTGAATTAATTTAGTAATCGAAGCAGCAGGACCCAAACCCATAGCAACCATAGCTACATGACCCCGCAACGACCTCCGGACTGTGTGACCCAAACATGTTCAGGATGTTTATTCTCCCTAAGAAGACAGGTTAATCAGCTTCTCCTTTAGCTGCAGGGTCACCAGAAAACAGTGAGGAGGTTGACAAATATGAACAGTAGACTGTTTAGGATCCTTGCCAGGAACATGACCTGACCCTGATGCGCCTAGTTCAGACTCGATTAGACCGTCACCAACGACATACTCAGCCAACCATTGGCGTACATCACCTGGACTAGCACCCTCGGGCTTAACACCCCACTCCTTGAGGCTTAGAAGTAATGCTTTCTCTTCCTCCACACAGAGAGAGAGGCATGTCTACAATAACCCAGAACCAACAGAAGTCACGGGACTACTACAATGCCTTACTCTCAGGATGTTACACTGGTTAAAACAAAAAAGACATAAGTAAACAACGCTTATAACGAATACGCTTATAACGAGCTTCCGGACATAACAAACTGTTTCTTGGTTCCGTCCATTTTGTGTTTAGATGTTGTAAACGAACTATGCTTTAAACGAACTTCGGTTATAACGAATTAAAATTAGTGGTCCCTTTGAGTTCGTTGTAACAGTAGTTCGTTATAACCATAGTTTACTGTACATGTACATACTTCTAAAGTTTAACAACTCCAGCCACTTGCCTTCAGTTTAACAACTAAGTAATTAAGTGTGGCAATCAAAAGCTAATTTACACTCGAGTATTTATGAAATGCTATACATTTACTTTATGTAGTAGTATGATGAAATTAATGTATACTTAATGAAATAATAATTAACCTGGTAGCTGTTCGGTTTCTGAATACACAACTGAAAACAACTTAAATATCTGGTAAAACTAAATTAGCACATAATATCTATCAAAACAATTACATTTGTTTCAGAATCTAACAATATTTAAGCATTTACACTTGAGTATTTATGAAATGCTATACATTTACTTTATGTAGTAGTATGATGAAATTAATGTATACTTAATGAAATAATAATTAACCTGGTAGCTGTTCGGTTTCTGAATACACAACTGAAAACAACTTAAATATCTGGTAAAACTAAATTAGCACATAATATCTATCAAAACAATTACATTTGTTTCAGAATCTAACAATATTTAAGCATCCAAAGACTGTAGAATATTTACAGTTATAGTGTTCCGAGGTACAGATCACGTGTAAAGGCTCAAAGCATTAACTATAAATGTCTGCAGGGAATTTGTTTGACAGGCATTACTTAGAAGTTGACGGCTGACATGGCAAACACAATTTTATGGATAAAACTTCGTTAATACTATAGTGAGTGAGTATGGTTTTACGCCGCTTTTAGCAATATTCCAGCAATATCACGGCGGGGGACACCAGAAATGGGCTTCACACATTGTACCCATGTCGGGAATCGAACCCGGGTCTTCGGCGTGACGAGCCAACGCGTTAACCACTAGGCTACCCGACCGCCCCCGTTAATACTATAAAAAGCGACGGTTCAGTATAGATCCTTAATTAGACACAATTTTATGGATAACAACTTCTTTAATACTGTAAAAAGCGACGTTTCGGTATAGACAATGGTATAAGGATCTATACCGAAACGTCGCTTTTTACAGTATTAAAGAGGTCGTTATCCATAAAAGTATGTCTACCTTGTCTGTAGGGAAGAGGCACATGTCACGTTCATAAAGTCACATAAGCCATGGTGGTCTTCACTGTAAACGGCGTCCATTAAAGCAGCACTGCTGGACATGGACTTGGTCATGGTATTTTGAATGCTGTGGTCTTGGTCATGATATAGTGAATGCTGTGGTCTTGGTCGTGATATTGTGAATGCTGTGCTCTTGGTCGTCATCGTGTGAATGCTGTGGTCTTGGTCATGATATAGTGAATGCTGTGGCCTTGGTCGTGATAATGTGAATGCTGTGGTCTTGGTCATGATATAGTGAATGCTGTGGTCTTGGTCGTGATATTGTGAATGCTGTGCTCTTGGTCGTCATCGTGTGAATGCTGTGGTCTTGGTCATGATATAGTGAATGCTGTGGCCTTGGTCGTGATAATGTGAATGCTGTGGTCTTGGTCATGATAAAGTGAATGCTGTGGTCTTGGGTATGGTATTTTGATTCCTGTGGTCTTGGTCGTGATATTGTGAATGCTTTGGTCTTGGTCATGATATAGCGAATGCAGTGATCTTGGTCGTGAACTTGTGAATGCTTTGGTCTTGGTCATGATATAGCGAATGCAGTGATCTTGGTCGTGATATTGTGAATGCTTTGGTCTTGGTCATGATATAGCGAATGCAGTGATCTTGGTCGTGAAATTGTGAATGCTTTGGTCTTGGTCATGATATAGCGAATGCAGTGATCTTGGTCGTGATATTGTGAATGCTTTGGTCTTGGTCATGATATAGCGAATGCTGGGGTCTTGGTCGTGATATTGTGAATGCTTTGGTCTTGGTTGTGATGTTGTGAAGCCAAACTGTGATTCAAGCAGCCAACAACACCGTTGTAATCAAAGAACCATAAAAAAACTAATTAAAAAAAACAATGCACGCATCATGAGCATGCATATATAACACTACCACATGGTGATATGAAACAAATTCACGCCACATTCTTCCCATTCATATTATGTATATATAAACAGAACATAAGTGTTCTGGGAGTCAGCATTAATGTTTATACAATACTGACATGAAATAGGTTAGCCTTACGTTATCGATGTGATGAGTGGGCAATGCGAACACATCCATGAACTATGACATCCATTGTTGCCATCGCGATACGACCTGAACAAGTAAAACTTTCCTCATAAATGAAACCTATAAACATGAATGGACCAACCAACAAGTCAAGCAGTACTTGATATATACAAGCTAGATACAATTACACTGTAAACTGTTCAACAATGTTATAACATAATATGTAATATTTTTTCTGCCTACCTAATATGACACCGTATACGGGAACCAAAGACACCATAACTAATCATATTATTGGTTATTGTGTCTTTAGTTGCCGTAAACGGTGTCATATAAGCTATAGGTAAGCAGAAAATGTTGGGCGAGGCGAGAGCCGGACCAAAGATTTTTTTAACTAACCTAATATGACACCGTATACGGCACCTAAAGACACCATAACCAATGTATTATGCCAATAGGTTTACAATATCTGGTATCCTTATCGCACATGTTATGTCAGAGAACTTGACACTTACAACCGGTATAGATGACCGGACCAGTACATGTGTTTCCGATACAACGGTTCAACGTAAACACAAACGTCAACAGTGGAATATATGACACTAAATGTGAACATTTAAACAAATATTATATCTACAATGGATAGAATTATCATAAAAATGTGTGCATATTATCAGAAATATGCGGGCCACTCTAATTTGATAGCAGCCCGCTTTTCCCTAACGACGGGCTGTTATCTATTCCATTGCTTGTTTGCGTCATTCTTTAGTATGTCCTATGACGTTGCTATTTGTTTAATCAGTGACCTTGTTACTTTGTCAGTTTACTTTGTCTCACAAGTTTTATTAGTCAAATCTTGAACGTGGTTTCTTTTAAAATTAATGTCTTTTCACATCAAAATTGATTATATTAAAATTCAAACCAGTGCTCAATAAAATTTTCTGTACCTGAACTTTCATGTGAAATATGTGAGGTGGGTGTTACTGATGGTATACGGTCTTATGTTAGATCAATAACAACCATCTTGGATTATTACTGACGGTATACGGGTTCATGTGGGGTTAGTCACCCTGCCCTCTGATTGGTCTCCCACTTTGAGGCATAATAATCTATTATATTCCCGATTAGGTCGACTACATTTTGTATATGGGTAATAGTCTATTATATTCCTAACTAGGTCTCCTATATAGGGAGGCATTCTATTATATCCTAAATATTGTTGCGTAAATAAACATTTATTCCGATGTATTCCCACTGGGGCCGCGGACGAAAGGAAGCGAATGGGGAGAAACATTCAGTTCTACACCTGGGTCGCCTCCAACGGTCGACATCACAAATCAAGGGGTCGTTTATTGTTAATACAAACACACCGATTACCCACTTGATAGAATCTACACATATCTGCACGAAGTACGTTAACCATCCATACTGTTTTAATTACTTACATACTACTGCATGTCAATCAAACACTATCCTCTTGTCTCTCATGCAGGCTTTCCAGATATGTAATGCAAGTCTATAATGGTGTGGCAAGTCTAGGGTTTAAAGTGCCCGGGAGGACATTCTCACGATGCGCTCTTATTATGAAACAATTTGACAAATAAATATGTTCACATTTCAGATACTGAATGTTAGTTTAGTCTACGAATGTATATCATCAACGTATGTACAGACAGTGTAAAATGATTAAAATACAAAACTAAAGCGATCAACTATCATGCTAATCCACATTATAACGCTCACTATTAAACTCATACGATTCATTTACGGACTTTAACACAGGGTTTCATTGACATTGGCACTGCCGAGAACAAGCTACTGGAAGACGTGGTCCTCCCTAAGGTACGTTTTATTGAGTGTGCAGCGTGAATGTGAGTGTATGTTGTTTTATAGTGTGTTTATATGTTTCACCCTGGCTGTGCAGTACTTGATGTTACCCTGGCTATGCAGTGTTTGATGTTACCCTGACCATGCAGCGAGGTATGTTACCCTAGCTACGCATTACCTGAAGTTACAATGGCTATGCAATACTTTGTTTCCCTGGCTATGCAGTACTTCATGTTACCCTGGCTATGCAGTACTATGTGTAACCCTGGCGACGCAGTACTTGATGTTACCCTGGCTATGCAGTGTTTGATGTTACCCTGACTATGCAGTGAGGTATGTTACCCTAGCTACGCATTACCTGAAGTTACAATGGCTATGTAATACTTTCTGTTTCCCTGGCTATGCAGTACTACATGTTACCCTGGTTATGCAGCACTATGTCTAACCCTGGCGACGCAGTACTTGATGTTACCCGGGCCATGCAGTGTTTGTTGTTACCCTGACTATGCAGTGAGGCTTCTTACCCTAGCTACGCATTACCTGAAGTTACAATGGCTATGCAATACTTTCTGTTACCCTGGCTATGCAATACTACATGTTACCCTGGCTATGTAGTACTACATGTTACCCTGGCTATGAGGTACTGTGTGTAAACCTGACTATGCAGTACTACATGCTACCCTGGCTATGTATTACTTGATGTTACCCTGGCTATGCAGTACTTGATGTTACCCTGGCTATGTAGTACTAGGTTCTACCCTGGCTATGCAGTACTTGATGTTACCCTGGCTATATGTAGTACTATATGTTACCTGGCTATGCAGTACTAGATGTTACCCTGGATATGCAGTACTGTGTGTTACCCTGACTATGCAGTACTACATGTTACCCTGGCTATGTATTACTTGATGTTACCCTGGCTATGCAGTACTTGATGTTACCCTGGCTATGTAGTACTAGATGTTACCCTGGCTATGCAGTACTACACCTTACCCTGACTATGCAGTACTACATGTTACCCTGGCTATGTATTACTTGATGTTACCCTGGCTATGCAGTACTTGATGTTACCCTGGCTATGTAGTGCTAGATGTTACCCTGGCTATGCAGTACTACACCTTACCCTGGCTATGTAGTACTAAATGTTACCCTGGCTATGCAGTACCAGATGTAACCCATGCTATGCAGCACTAGATGTTACCCTGGCTATGTAGTACTAGATGTTACCTGGCTATTTAGTACTAGGTGTTACCCTGGCTATGTAGCTCTAGATGTTACCCTGGCTATGCAGTGCTGTGTGTTACCCTGGCTATGCAGTACTAGATGTTACCCTGGATACGTATAACTATATGTTACCCTGGCTATGTAGTACTAGATCTTACCCTGGCTATGCAGTACTTGGTGTTACCCTGACTATGTAGTACTACATGGTACCCTGGCTACGCAGTAATACATGGTACCCTGGCTATGCAGTACTGTATGTTACCCTGGCTATGTAGTGCTTGATGTTACCCTGGCTATGTAGTCCTGCATGTTTCCCTGGCTATGCATTTCTACATGTTCCCTTGGCTATGCAGTACAACATGTTACCCTGACTATGCAGTGAGGTATGTTACCCTGGCTAAGCAATACTTCCTGTTACCCTGGCTATGCAATACTTTCTGTAACCGTGGCTATGCAGTTCTACATGTTACCCTGGCTATGCAGTACTAGATGTTACCCTGGATATGCAGTACTGTGTGTTACCCTGTCTATGCAGTACTACATGTTACCCTGGCTATGTATTACTTGATGTTACCCTGGCTATGCAGCACTAGATGTTACCCTGGCTATGTAGTACTAGATGTTACCTGGCTATTTAGTACTAGGTGTTACCCTGGCTATGTAGCTCTAGATGTTACCCTGGCTATGCAGTGCTGTGTGTTACCCTGGCTATGCAGTACTAGATGTTACCCTGGATACGTATAACTATATGTTACCCTGGCTATGTAGTGCTAGATCTTACCCTGACTATGCAGTACTTGGTGTTACCCTGACTATGTAGTACTACATGGTACCCTGGCTACGCAGTAATACATGGTACCCTGGCTATGCAGTACTGTATGTTACCCTGGCTATGTAGTGCTTGATGTTACCCTGGCTATGTAGTCCTGCATGTTTCCCTGGCTATGCATTTCTACATGTTCCCTTGGCTATGCAGTACAACATGTTACCCTGACTATGCAGTGAGGTATGTTACCCTGGCTAAGCAATACTTCCTGTTACCCTGGCTATGCAATACTTTCTGTAACCGTGGCTATGCAGTTCTACATGTTACCCTGGCTATGCAGTACTAGATGTTACCCTGGATATGCAGTACTGTGTGTTACCCTGTCTATGCAGTACTACATGTTACCCTGGCTATGTATTACTTGATGTTACCCTGGCTTTGCAGTACTTGATGTTACCCTGGCTATGTAGTACTAGATTTTACCCTGGCTATGCAGTACTTGATGTTACCCTGGCTATGTAGTGCCAGATGCTACCCTGGCTATGTAGTACTAGATGTTACCCTGGCTATGTAGTACTAGATGTGACCCTGGCTATGCAGTACTGCGTGTTTCCTGGGATATGGCGTACTACATGTTACCCTGGATATGCAATATTACATGTTACCCTGGCTATGCAGTACTACATGTTACCCTGGCTATGCAGTACTGTGTGTTACCCTGACTATGCAGTACTACATGTTACCCTGGCTATGTATTACTTGATGTTACCCTGACTATGCAGTACTACATGTTACCCTGGCTATGTAGTACTAGATTTTACCCTGGCTATGCAGTACTTGATGTTACCCTGGCTATATGTAGTACTAGATGTTAACTGGCTATGCAGCACTAGATGTTACCCTGGCTTAGTAGTGCTAGATCTTACCCTGGCTATGCAGTACTTGGTGGTACCCTGGCTATGTAGTGCTTGATGTTACCCTGGCTATGTAGTACTGCATGTTTCCCTGGCTATGCATTTCTACATGTTCCCTTGGCTATGCAGTACAACATGTTACCCTGACTATGCAGTACTACATGTTACCCTGGCTATGTATTACTTGATGTTACCCTGACTATGCAGTACTTGATGTTACCCTGGCTATGTAGTACTAGATTTTACCCTGGCTATGCAGTACTTGATGTTACCCTGGCTATATGTAGTACTAGATGTTAACTGGCTATGCAGCACTAGATGTTACCCTGGCTATGTAGTACTAGATGTTACCCTGGCTATTCAGTACTAGGTGTTACCCTGGCTATGTAGCTCTAGATGTTACCCTGGCTACGTATAACTATATGTTACCCTGGCTTAGTAGTGCTAGATCTTACCCTGGCTATGCAGTACTTGGTGTTACCCTGGCTATGCAGTGCTTGATGTTACCCTGGCTATGTAGTACTGCATGTTTCCCTGGCTATGCATTTCTACATGTTCCCTTGGCTATGCAGTACAACATGTTACCCTGACTATGCAGTGAGGTATGTTACCCTGGCTAAGCAATACTTCCTGTTACCCTGGCTATGCAATACTTTCTGTAACTGTGGCTATGCAGTTCTACATGTTACCCTGGCTATGCAGTACTAGATGTTACCCTGGATATGCAGTACTGTGTGTTACCCTGACTATGCAGTACTACATGTTACCGTGGCTATGTATTACTTGATGTTACCCTGGCTTTGCAGTACTTGATGTTACCCTGGCTATGTAGTACTTGATTTTACCCTGGCTATGCAGTACTTGATGTTACCCTGGCCATGTAGTGCCAGATGTTACCCTGGCTATGTAGTACTAGATGTTACCCTGGCTATGCAGTACTACATGGTACCCTGGCTACGCAGTAATACATGGTACCCTTGCTATGCAGTACTGTATGTTACCCTGGCTATGTTTTCTAGATGTTACCCTGGCTATGTAGTACTGCATGTTTCCCTGGCTATGCATTTCTACATGTTCCCTTGGCTATGCAGTGAGGTATGTTACCCTGGCTATGCAATACTTTCTGTCACCCTGGCTATGCAATACTTTCTGTAACCCCTGGCTATGCAGTTCTACATGTTACCCTGGCTATGCAGTACTACATGTTACCCTGGCTATGCAGTACTGTGTGTTACCCTGACTATGCAGTACTACATGTTACCCTGGCTATGTATTACTTGATGTTACCCTGGCTATGTAGTACTAGATGTTACCTGGCTATGCAATACTAGATGTTACCTTGGCTATGTAGTGCTACATGTTACCCTGGCTATGTTGTACTACATGTTACCCTGGCTACGCAGTACTTGAAGTTACCCTGGCTATGTAGTGCTAGATGTTACCCTGGCTTCGCGCACTGTGTGTTACCCTGGCTATGCAGTACTTGAAGTTACCCTGGCTATGTATTGCTAGATGTTACCCTGGCTTCGCGCACTGTGTGTTACCCTGGCTACGCAGTACTTGAAGTTACCCTGGCTATGTAGTGCTAGATGTTACCCTGGCTTCGCGCACTGTGTGTTACCCTGGCTACGCAGTACTTGAAGTTACCCTGGCTATGTATTGCTAGATGTTACCCTGGCTTCGCGCACTGTGTGTTACCCTGGCTACGCAGTACTTGAAGTTACCCTGGCTATGCAGCACTAGATGTTACCCTGGCTGTTCAGTACTACATGTTCCCTTGGCTATGCAGTACTACATGCTCCCCTGGCTATGCAGTACTTGATGTTACCCTGGCTATGTAGTGCTAGATATATGTTACCATGACCATGCAGTGAGGTATGTCACCCTTGCTACGCATTACTTGAAGTTACAATGGCTATGCAATACTTTCTGTTACCCTTGTTATGCAGTACCACATGTTACCCTGGCTATGCAGTACTACACCTTACCCTGGCTATGCAGTACTAAATGTTACCTGGCTATGCAGTACTAAATGTTACCTGGCTATGCAGTACTAAATGTTACCCTGGCTATGCAGTACTAAATGTTACCTGGCTATGTAGTACTACATTTTACCCTGGCTATTCAGTGCTTGATGTTACCTGGCTATGTAGTACTAAATGTTACCTGGCTATGCAGTACTAAATGTTACCTGGCTATGCAGTGCTAGATGTTACCCTGGCTATGCAGTACTAGATGTTACCCTGGCTATGCAGCACTAGATGTTACCCTGGCTATGCAGTACTAGATGTTACCCTGGCTATGTAGTACTAGATGTGACCCTGGCTATGCAGTACTACACCTCACCCTGTTTATGAAGTACTAGATGTGGCCCTTGCTATGCAGTACTAAATGTTACCTGCCTATGTAGGACTAAATGTTACCTGGCTATGCAGTACTAGATGTTAGCCTGGCTATGCAGTACTAGATGTTACCCTGGCTATGTAGTACTAGATGTGACCCTGGCTATGTAGTACTGCATGTTTCCCGGGCTATGCAGTACTACATGTTACCCTGGATATGCAATATTACATGTTATCCTGGCTATGCAGTACTACATGTTCCCTTGGCTATGCGGTACATGTTACCCTGGCTATGCAGCACTGTGTGTTACCATGGCTATGCATTTCTACATGTTAACCTGGCTATGCGGTACATGTTACCCTGGCTATGCAGTACTGTGTGTTGCCATGGCTATGCAGTGCTACATGGTACCCTGGCTATGCAGTAATATACTGAACCGCAAAAGAAACGTCACCAAAGTAACATTGCATGAAAAGTTCAAATATCTGGGTAATTTTTGTCAAAGTTTCTAAGATTTAACATTATCTTGTCTGGAAAAATGAAATTTGATGACAAAAAAACACAAGCAGATGACAATAAAACCGATCGCCCAAACGCATCACGGCAACGGCCATGGTAACCCGATGCACGTGAGTTGTGTGCAAATTGAAATGCACATGCGTTCCGCCATTTCTTTCCCAATAAAAGTCCGCCCAGATCGGATAACATTCATTCGTTATTGAATTGCTATCATATGCCAAGATTGACAAGAAATCAGCGACACCAAGCCCTTGGACGATTGCAAGCTGGACAAACCGCCCGGCAAGTAGCCAATGCATTTCAAGTCCACGTAAGGACCACGTAAGGACTCCAGCAACGGTACCAGACCACCAAGGGTCACCACCCGACGTCAGGATCGTCAGATTGTGCGACACCATCTTCAAGATCGCTTGGTTACTGCTGCGGAAACTGCTGGACATGGAGACACACCAGCGACACATTAGTGCAGACACCCCTACTGTCACAGGCCACACCGAGGACCCATTCTGACACCACGTCATCGTCAGTGGGAAACACAGCACCAGCATTGGCGCTACCACCAGTGGAGAAGTGGCCTCTTCTCAGACGAGAGCCGTTACTGTATCTCAACAGCAGATGGCAGAGAGAGGGTCTGGCGACACCGTGGGGAACGTTATCCGGATGCTTCTGTTGCTGAGAAAGACTCGTGGTGTGGTCCGAGCATCATGGTGTGGAGTGGAGTTGGTCTTGCACAGAGGGTGGGCCCTGTTGTCTTCCAGGACATCGGTTCAGGGAGAGGCAATGGTGTCACAGCAGCTCGGTACATTGATCAAGTCTTGAGACCATCAGAACCATGAAGTGGCCGGCCCTCAGTCCCGATTTAAATCCCATTGAGCACGTGTGTGACGAGATTCAAAGACGGCTGAATGACGTCCAACCAAGGCCGACAACTGCAGCTGAACTGCGTCAGGCGTTCCTCAGACTGTGGGCTCAAGTGCCTATGGCCTTCACCAACCGCCTCATACATTCCATGTATCGACGTTGCACGGCAGTCATCAATGCACATGGCGGACACACGAGGTACTGACTTTTGATGCCATTTTCTCAGAGACTAGAGTTGTGTTTCACTTTCAGAACATTTGACACTTTAATTTCAACCTTGAAGATCAGTTTTGCCAAGTTTCATCTTTTTAATATGTCACAAAGTATATTTACAGTGTTTGGACAAGTAAGGTTTCTCATATATCTATCCATTGCGGTTCAGTATACACGGTACCCTGACCATGCAGTACTACATGTTATCCTGGCTATGTAGTAATACATGCTTCCTTTGCTATGCAGTATTTTATCTTACCCTGGCTATGCAGTTGCGTGTATATTTCAGCTGGGGTCTTTGTCGGAGGGCAAGGAAGACTCAGTGCAGATGTATTATCCAAACCTGAAGGGCTTGCTTAGGTAGGTATTTACAGACTGCTACTACCACTACCACTGTTGCTGCTTCTATTACTACTTCTACTACTACAACCACTACTACTGTTGCTGATGCTACTACTACTGTTGCTGCTGCTGCTACTACTACTACTTCTACTACTACTGTCGGGGTGGTAGGGTAGCCTAGTGGTTAAAGCGTTCGCTCTGCTTGAATATTGCTACAAGCGGCGTAAAACCACTCATTCACTACTACTGCCGCTGTTGCTGCTAGAACGACTACTACTACTGTTACTACTACTACTACTAATAATAATAATAATAATAATAGGTTTGCATCCCATACTGGCTTACTATATTCACTATTGATCTTGTCAATCAAATCAGTATCAAAAGGGACAGGGAGTTCAATGATATACACTCTTCACAAAAGGAAACGCTGGGATAATGTGAATATTGATGTTGTTTATTCAAGAAACATTCAAGACAAATGCAATATGTTCGATTGCACGATGTTAATCACAGGTTCGTTAACTGCTGTAGTGCACAAACGTAATCGTTTTAAACGTTTGTAGATTTATACAGAAAGTTTTATCAGACTGCATGACAATGTCATGGAAAGGATATTAATAGCAGAATGCACGAGCAAGTTATGACATTCATGTGCAGTGAGTAGGACTATAAAAGGACAAACGTTAGTCAACATTTTGTCATACGTTTGTCGACTTATTGGAAGTGGAACATGCCGAGACTAAATGCAGCCAATCCCAACATCGCCACAGTACGTCTTGATGCTGGAGAGTCCCAGGCTGCAGTTGCACGTCATTTCAACGTACACCAGAGCACCATATCTCGTTTATGGGATCGGTTTACCCGCCCCCATTTAACTCCTTTCTAAGCATTATCAGGCTTTCCACACATGTTTATTGATGCCGCAACTGATTCTGTCATGGTCCGTAGTGCTGGGGTATATTGGATTTCTGATTTATGTTTCTTGCTAGGTGTCGATTCCCGAATTGAAACAATATGTTAACCCAGGATTTTTACGTAAATGGATTTAGTGTGAACCAACAATTCTACCATGAATTTGGAATTTACTCGATTCTGATTGGTCAATCAGAGGTCATTTACAAAATGAATGTATTTACGTTTTGGAGACAAAAGAGATCTTGGAATTTTGGCGCTTTTCTATATACGACTGTGACGTCATATCTTTTGCGTCGCTGAGCGATATGACGTCATAATGGTGACGCGCGATGTAGAGCCTTGCAAAGCTTGCTTTGTTTTCTTTAGGGATGCCCACCTCATATTAGCTTACCAAGTTGCCGTGCTTATATGCTTTCAATGCCTGTCATATGTTCGAGTGAAAACAAACTGCTTGAGGTTATACGGCGCCATATTTTGTTCGATGATTCCGTAATTTAAATCGATAACCCACTCAAAACACTGGACTCAACCCATACCGCTTCACTCAGTATATTTGCTAACACCAAAGAGTTCGCGGTTTATTAAGTCATGGTAGAATGGAGATAAACATACTGTGTTTTCAATGTAGAGCTAGGTTACCAGTAGATTTGACCGCGCTAAATTAAACATTTGAAACCTCACGCTGCGCGTTCGGTTCCAAATTCAATTTAGCGCGGTTAAATCTACAGGTAACCAAACATATCAAAGAGTTCAGGGATGATAATATTCACCTATCTGCAATAGTGGTCCAGCATCCGAGATAGGCCTATGCTGGGAATCCGGGGTGACAAGTTTAAAAACAATTGATATGATGGGTGCAAATATAATACAAACTTACCAACAAACCAATAAGTAAGGTATTAAGTAATGTGATGACAATGTGGAGACTACTTAACACCGTGAACTCCAGGTGTTGTGACATCCGGTGCATACTTTGTGTTTGAAAACAAACGTCTTGACCCAGTCAACGCATTGCAATCGTGGCGAATAGTAATGTTCAAGGACGCTAAGACGTACAACTTTTATGAAGGTACAAGAAGTAACTGTGCGGCGCCATTACAATCAATAATGACGTTATCCATAACAGTTCTCATGTTCTACCAACTTATGAATGCCAAGACATTTTGTATTCCGAATTGAAGTCAAATCTACATCAAACACTGTTATGTTCATAGATTGATATACATATTTGCTATTGATATCACCAACGACGTTCTTGAATAATCCTTGACGATATGTTTAGTTTCAGGAAGCAGTTGAAGTATTTCTTTGAGGAACGATTTCATCCTATTTATGAGATAGATCCAGAAGAGGTATAATGTCCTTTCTAAAATCTGCTGTGGAATTAGCAGTATAAATTCATTACTCGATTAGTATTTAAGTTGATGTTCCATAGACTTTATCTTAACACACGTTTTACGTATCTGTGTACCCCTGTCTATATTATAACATGAAGAGTTTGACACGTATAACATGCACTCTAACAAGGCGACTAAGTTGGATCGGGTGGTCTGTTTCTATGATGTGTCATTGTGTTCTGGCGAAGTGACTAATTATGTCTATCACTGATTCGTTTTATCTTTAGCCTAACATGTATAATCGTTTACCTGTTTCGCCTATGGTTATCCTGACATGTATACTTATTTAACTGCATAATAATTAATCATTATCCGAATATATGTAAACGTTATCTTCACACCCACCCAACGTACTAACGGAAAAAAGTAACTGTGCTTCAAATAAAGTTCAATAAAAAATACATATAATTCTGAAATTAAATGATGTATCTTTCAATGCATATTCATGACGACATATATGTCACTTGTGTTTTGGGGAGCATGATAATCACACACGTGTTTTGCTTAATGTGAACATCACACAATGATTGTTCAGCTATCAGGTGCTCAGAAAAACGCCTTTGTTTCAACGTAAATAACCACACCGTGGGTATGCTGCAAACAGGAATGGGGCAAAAGTTAATGTTAATGTTCATCAAAACACAATATCATCTCTCTGGAGACGTTATCTATAGCAGGGCAACACGCAACTTGTCACGGGCCGGTCGTCCATGTGTGGCGCTCCGTCAACAAGACAACCATATTTGGTTGGTGCATCTACGGAATCGATACCAATACGCCACATTTACTGCTCAGGCAAGTTCTTGGTTGAGACCAATTAGTGACACAACCGTACGCAACCGGTAGAGGGAGCCCAATATCCGGCTTCCACGTCACCGTCAGGCAACATAACTTTGATGTACTACCATTGTCGACTGTCTTTCCAGACCTCTCCCCTGTAGTACATGCCTGGGATGAGATAGATCGACGTCTATCACAGGACCAAACAGACCGGCAGTGACAGCTTAATTGGTCTAATATTTGGTTGATATTTTGAACATTATCCCCCAGGCTATTTTCCATCATATGGTGTCTTCAATGTGCCGCCGCTGCCTCGCCTGTATCAACGCAAATGGTTATCACACCCGACATTGACATTGATAAACATCTACACCACTGTATATGAAGCACAGTTACATTTCTCCGCCGGTATATCATTATCGTAATGAATGTTAAGCTGTTCCGCCTGTGGTTATCCTAGTATAGGTAAATGTTTCATACACGCCCATTTGTTATCCTGGCATGTTTAACACCTCTTATCGTCTATCCGTGAAGATTCCGGGGTAGAATATGTCTTCAGCAACCCATGCTTGCCGTAAAAGGCGACTGTCCTTGTCGTAAAAGGCGACTAACGGGATCGGGTGGTCAGGCTCGCTGACTTGGTTGATGCACGGTCATCAAACCCAATTGCGTGGGTTGATGCTCATGATATTAATCACTGGATTGTCTGGTCCAGACTCGATTATTTACAGACCGCCGTCATATAGCTGGAATATTGCTGAGTGCGGCGTTAAACAACCAACCAACCAACTCTTATGGTAAAGAAAGCTCTTTTAAATATTTCTCAAATAGTTGTTTTCAAACATTGTGAGCAATATATGTTTCTCATGATGTTTTGTATTTTCCCTGTTTTAGCTTGTGGTATCAAGTGGCACAACTTCAATTCTCGAGACGCTTGCATTTGCCATTGCTGAACAGGGCGGTAAATATAGTGTACATCCGTCCACGTCGTTTGTGTTAGGGTACATGCTGTCATTGCTGAAGACGGCGGTTAATATAGTGTACATCCTTCCACGTTGTTTATGTCAGGTTACATGCTGTCATTGCTGAAGACGGCGGTAAATATAGTGTACATCCTTCCACGTCGTTTGTGTTAGAATACATGCTGCCATTGCTGGAGACGGCGGTAAATATAGTGTACATCCTTCAACGTCGTTTGTGTTAAGATACATGCTGTCATTGCTGGAGACGGCGGTAAATATAGTGTACATCCTTCCACGTCGTTTATGCTAGGATACATGCTGTCATTGCTGAAGACGGCGGTAAATATAACTTCTTTGCTAATCCCTGTCGAAATATAAGTCACATACTTCTTTTGACGATTTCTATGAGAGTTCATAATGCAATAGCTGGACCAGGAAAATATTCTCTTCTTCTACGGAAGTGTGCCCAATTGCATTACTAAACACTGGTAAATGTCGATCATCTTTGTTGCACTGGCAGCCTTAGGATTCAATACATAATATACAAGTTGACAAAGACATACAGTTTCTGGTTTTCAGAACTGCATTTAGAAATGAAACATCACCGTCGTTCTCTAATTTAACAATTGCCACTAGGCAAGAAAACGGCCAGAAGTTTTCTATTGATATGTCAACGCTTATCAGATCATAATTAAAAAGTAATGTTTAGATATGACATACCCAATTATATAGCATATGATTGACTTTCCGCAGTTATCTATGCAGCAGCATGTGACGTAGACGTAGCGTGTATTTAATGAAAGGGTTTTTGCTTTCATTTGGTAATCCTGGTGGAGTTTAGTCGAATTTTACCGTCACTGAAACAGTCTCTGTGTTTTCTTGTTGTCTGAGCATGTTCTGTTTTTTTATAATATTTCAGACTGCATCCTTGTGCCGACCCCCCATTATTATCGTATAACGAACGACTTCATGGAGCGGGCTGAAGTGGAGTGTCTGCCTGTACCCCTACTCAGCCAGGTAAAAACATGTCTACATAACCCTCGGATTAGCTGGCCAGGTAGAGGGTCAGCTGGGTTCCAATGTTGATGATGAGAGCCATCCGTCGGTGTCAGTGTTGATCCATTGGTTCAGGATGAGAATGGTCAATAAAGTCTTTTGTGTTTCAGAATGCGAATGGCTTGGCACTTGTCAATGCATTCGCATGTGCTTCAGCGTAAGAAGGGATTGGCGTCAATGTAAATGTTGTCTTCTATGTTTCAGGATGAGAATAGGATTGCGTCAATATCAATGGAGTCTTCTGTGCATCAAAATTAAACAGGCTTCAAGTCTCATCTGTTAAAATAGTCTTCTATGCTTCAGAATGAGAATGGATTGGCGTCAATATCAAAGTTTCTTATCTGCTTCAGGACAAGTTCCACCTGTCGGGAGAAAAACTGGAGGCAGCCTACAATAAAGCTATTAATGAGGTATGTGCGTATCAGTGAAGTACTCTACACTTGTCTCATCTTTGAGATCTCCTTAGCCACAGATATCTCATGTCACAATTTCATTATATCCCTGCTAAGTTAGCTTTATGTCTGATATCCTACTACATCAGCTTTATCTCTGATGTCTCTTACAGTACCCTTATCCCCAACATATCTTTGAAGGAACGTTATGCCTTGATTTCTCCAATTCAGTGTCTTTGTCTTTATCGTACATATCTCTAATGGTAAGTGAATATGTGATATTTTGTATCAGTTATTGGATCTTGCAGGACATATCGCTTGTGGGGTACCACACTATATCAGTTAGGATATTGAGGTTTTATTGAGATGAAACAAACATGGCTGCCAAGAATAAAACATAATTCCGTCCAGGTGTAAACACACAAACCTATGTTGTTGAATTGTTGTTTTATTTAGATAAAACTGTGTAAAGATCAGGGGAAGATTTATTTGTGTTGTTTCTGCTGGTATTAACATTTCTGATATGGTGTGACTTCTTATAGAGTGTGACTGCTGAATGCAAAACATAACTTGACATTGGACATTCCTTTACATGCGTATCTTAGAAATTTGGAAACAGGCCAGCTCTGAATAGTTAACGGGTGTGTTAGCTTTGACAAATCAGCAGGGATCTTTTACATTTTGTGATAAAATGCACCCAAACAACTGCAAAAACTACATGTAAACCATTATGTTTTTTCTGCAATCAATCTTTATTTACACATATACTGACATGCCACAGGACTATAGTACAGAGTGCATAGATTGTGTGGTATACATATTCTTAATTAACCTTTTCACATGCATGTTCTATAATCCATTGCATGTAATACATATGATGTCAAGCGCGTTAACACATTGATATTTTCGGAAGACTTTAGTACAATAAATTTTAAAATGTTTGGTGGCTGGTACATATATGTTGATAAATATTCCATACGCAAATAATAAGATATTGGACACACAAAGAAATCTTAAAATTTACAAACTTTATGTTGTTTTAATATTTGTGTGTATCCGCCATGTTCAGTGTTATGAGTATGCGATGAGTATCGTTTTCGAGCAAAAGACATTCTATTTTTTTGCAAAAGAGGTTTAAAAATATATTCTTCAGTTTTAAATTGAGTTTTAAACATTACATAATATTTACATTTTGATGATAATAATAGTAATAATAATGTAAATTCTTTTACATTGCTGAGGCGTGTAATCTTTCTCTGAAGTGTGACTTCGTCAAACCCTATATTTCTGCCCCATACAAAAAGTGAGTGAGTTTGGTTTTACGCCGCTTTTAACAGTTTTCCAGTTATATCACGGTGTGTCAGCTTAATGTTGGAGGAAAGCCCGAAGTGATGCAGGTCTCAGGCGTTTACCACTTCGGTGAAACCCACAAGCACGGGTATGGTGCTGACAAACCTAGAAACATAATCGGGGCGAACCGGGATTCGAACCCACAATCATAGGTTTCTGGCGTGCCCAAGGCACGCAACTCTGCACAGCGAATCGCGGCGCCTTAGACGACTGGGCCATCCGTGGCCCCCATACAACAAAATAGGATTAATTTTTGTATCGAAGATTTTAAAAATTAAATCAAAGTTTACATCACCAATGTTTTGGGGATGTTTCCGAATGCCAAAGAAGATCTTCTTTGCCGGAGTGGCAGTTTGTGTTGAATGGAACTTTCATGACAATTTACTGGAGAAATAGACTACCAAATATTTGTATTTAGTAACAACTCATACTTAGCCTTTATAAAACCATTTTCCTTGTTTTGATAGTATGCCTCCGTTTTTGAAAACAATTACCTTAGTTTTTCCTATGTTGACCGTTAGACAGGACTTTTCACAAAACTGTTCTAAACCTTAATTTGATGAAGCAATCCAGTTATGGTTCTGACAGCCAGTTGTTAGACATCTTTTAACAACAATTTCTTCTGGTTGTGTGCACAGCAAGGTATCAGATGAATAATGGAATGACCCATAGGTCTATACATAAGAAAGAAGTGTTAAGTGTTAAATATTCACAATACAAGTTGACCATAAATCAGATGTCAAATGAATATCTACGGACAATAGTATGACACACGTTACATAAAGGCACTAATTTGATGACAGCATTTATAAATTTGTGTTAGGGATTTTATTATTTGAACAGTCAGGCTCTGTGGTATTACCTGTACACCCTGGGATTGAGCTCTATCGTCGTACTTCGTATCGTGAAAAAGGTTTGGTGTGAAAACATCTATGAAAAAGCTATTCGCATTCGTTCATGTCGAGTATTGGAGCAAAGTGAAATTTGTTATCAATATTATTTTCTTTGTTCGTAAAATATATTGTCAAAGATCTCTCATCTTCACAGGACCTGGGCGTTTTATTCATGTATTTTCGATTGTTGTCACCCCTGATCACACTAAGTCTAATTAGGGTTATTAAAAACTTTTTAATTCCGATAGATATGTTAGCAATATTTATCAAACATTCTTAAATAAAAAGTTAACCCATCCTAATAAAGAAAGCTGTGTCACTTTGGTCAGATAAATATCCAATGAGTACAGTTTGGGTTGTTTGATTATGGTCAGATAAATATCCAATGAGTACAGTTTGGGTTGTTTGATTATGGTCAGATAAATATCCAATGAGTACAGTTTGGGTTGTTTGATTATGACAATCTATCGTAAATGTTGTTTTTTATCGGAACAAAAAACAGAGAATCCACATATACATGTACATATGTGTGGCGGGAATTATCAGATCTATGATGCCAGACTGCATTAGTCTATATATTCCGTTTTGAAATGTATCTCAATAGTAGTAGTATTACAAAATAAAGAATAGCCCTCTCGCGGTTTTGATTAAGCTCATATATGTCTAAGAGTGCAAATGTTAGACGGACTAAACCAAAGTTACAGTTAGAACACCGACTTTGTGAAAATGAAGTGGAAGACGAATTACTTATAATTTGTACGAAATATACTTATTTAAGGAAATTGTATCTGCCACAGAATTGATATGCACATTCGTGATTGTATTACTTGTGTCCAGCTAATGTGGGATACATGTTGAAATATTATGTTTCGACTATATTATCATGGTCTAGCATGGTATATTGGTATTGATCGAAGTTTTATATGTACCCACAGTGGGCGGCTGGGTTTGAAGTGGTGGGTCACGTCTCATGCTAATGTCATCACGTATCCACATACTGTGCTGCTTGAAATTATTACATGGGGCCCATGAATATCATTATCTGTCTGTGTCATCGGACACAAGACAGCGAAGTGTACCAATATAACATCATGGCAACCAACTAAACGGAATTAAACCCTTCCACTAAGATGCAATTACTGGCATTGATCTTAAAATCAAACACAATTAGAGCACTTCACTCCACAATCCATATGTAACACTCTTTGGTTAAACAACACCTTTAACTTCAGCCTTTGTGGATGTATGCTGTGATGTGAAGGTGACATAGAGCTTGGGCCGATACTAATCACCCCCATTGTGATACATGGCCATATTCTTCATGTTACCCCAGACTTCTCATCTTACGTCCTGAGTTACTCATTGTAGATTACATATCAATCCAGGTCATCTCTGAAATCTCTCTCACATATATCATTTAAATATATCTTCTTTCACATATGCTATCTCCCTGTGAATTATTTTGTATGCAGTTCCATCACAGAGACGAATTATTGCTGTTTGGTCTTTTGAACAATTTCTGTCTTTTAGCAACACATTCCTGCAACAACCATTTCCATAATCAAAAGAAATGCCAAAGCAGTGTTCATTGTATGATTCCGACTATGTCATCAGCATGTGTTCAGGAATCACTATAAAATAATTCTGATGCCAGTTGTTCGCGAACACGGGAGCGTATCAATAAGCCTGACAATGTTTTGGGTATAAAACCTAAGGTGGATTTATTTTGTTCATGTATTTCCTAAAAAACATGTTTTTACAAAAATCCTTGGCAGGAATATCTTATATTTTACCAGTAGGAAAGGTTGTCGACACTAATACTTGTACAGCAGGATATCCACATATAGTACATAAGCAGTACATCTGCATATACAGTACATAAGCAGTACATCTGCATATATAGTACATAAGCAGTACATCTGCATATATAGTACATAAGCAGTACATCTGCATATATAGTACATAAGCAGTACATCTGCATATACAGTACATAAGCAGTACATCTGCATATATGGTACATAAGCAGTACATCTGCATATATAGTACATAAGCAGTACATCTGCATATATAGTACATAAGCAGTACATCTGCATATACAGTACATAAGAAGTACATCTGCATATATAGTATATAATTCGCCTTACATCGGACATATACTACTCAAGAGAAGCTAAAGATCACCCGAGTCTTTCATATTAGCATGACAGAAGCACTGGAGCAATATGAAAGCATCGGGTGATCTATATATCGAACAGTAGATTTACAAACTTTTTCCTTTTTACCCCGTGAACGTTTTTCCTTTACTCCTAACCAACAGACACACGTATATCATAATCAAATTACGGTTTTTAGCTTAAATAAAGTCGGTAAATGCTCCATCGCGTCACTGGATTTCCTAGTCCATCATCCTTTGATTGTTTTGTTTGTCTGCAGGCCACCGTCACCTGGCATCAGTCCTGCTGTGTGGCATCAGACAATAAACACTTATTTCTTCATCTAAATTGTGTATAATCTTTTCGCGAACACCTAGTGTCTTCACTGATTTTCAGTGATCCATTGATGTGATTTATACCACTATTTTGCCATAAACCTCCATGATGCCGTTTATGACCAATGGAATATTGTGGCGAATAATGGAGACTGGTTATTCTCCGGCATTGACGTTTATTTATTTCATGAGACATATAATGTACAACTTCATTTATGCATGTGTGTGTGTGTGTGTGTGTGTGTGTGCATTTGTGTGTAGAAGAGGATTGATCCCTTACATTTGACATCCATTTACGGTTGCCTTGCATCCGATATATACTTTGTACACAAGCCTTTCATAAAGTGTTCAGACGCAGAGGAGACGAAGTTTTTGGAAGTTTTGGAATCCAGTTTGAAAGATGAATGGACATGTCTTTAGGGTCAAGGCAAAGGTTGATAGTAGCAGAGGAGACGAAGTTTTTGGAAGTTTTGGAATCCAGTTTGAAAGATGAATGGACATGTCCTCAAGGTCAAGGCAAAGGTTGATAGTACTGATACGTGGTTTTGACGAACCTTTTCTTCAGCTAAAATACTGACCTAATGTGGCATTCTTTGATACGTCTTATACCAAGGTCTTGAGCAAACAAATCATGTAGTGACCCTTACATATAATGGTCATGTTATTTGAGGCTAGGCTTTGTAGGACAGCCGCTTTTTGGATGGCAGCTGGCTGGGACAGAAAAGGTTTATTCAAATTCAACTTACTCGGTGTTGTCTGCTTGTGCGTTCTACCAAAGACACCATCCCATATTGAAGGTTCATCTCCACGCCACGTCTGTTTATGACAGTCAGTGAAGTATGGTAACTATATCGGTTTTCAGGCCAAGGGGTCTGACTGGAAACATAATAGCTGGTCTCAAAACAATACGCATCCCCATCACTCTAACTCCCATCACAAACCGCCCCCCCCCAACACACGTCACCCTCCTCCAAAACACCCATCATCCCCCTATCGCCCTCCAACACCCATCACCCACCCCAGCCAACACCCACCCACCCACCCAAAAAACAATCATCCAACCCATCTACCCTCTCCCCCCCCCCCCCCTCCCTCCATCCACATCACCACCACATCACAAAGAAACCCACACCCATCCCACCTACCACCACCTCCCCATCTACCACCACCTCCCCACCACCCAGCCAATGAGCCAAGGACGCATAATTGTGAATTGTGGTTGTTGTTAGTTGTCGAACAGTTTGATTTCCGGGGATTGGTGATGAGGTGCTTGTGTTTTGAAGACAATATTAATTATTCTGTCTCTGACGACAGCTGTCGCCACCCCCTCGAAGTGTGGTAATCGGACCCTCACTGATGGTTTGTATGCCAAGCAAGAAAACAGAAGCTGGTTCATTTAAAGTTAACTTCATTCTACGACAGGACACACAGGAAACTGCATTACGTTAACTAATGCTACACTAATTCTGTTACTCACAGGGACGCACGGTGCGAGGTGTGCTGCTCATCAATCCACACAACCCACTCGGCGATGTCTACACGCAGCAGCAACTCATGGACTGTTTGAAGGTGGCACAAAGGTAAATACTTGGAAATCTTGAAGATGTCATAGACAGTGGATATGCACTGTATGTCAGATACCTGTGTCAACCACCTGCATCGGATACATTTGTTGAGTACCTGTGTCAAGTCCCCATGCCATGTGTTTGGTACCTGTACATGTGTTAAATACATGTGTCGAGTTGCTTTATCTGGCAACAATAGAAAGTACGTTTTGTGGGTATCTAGATCCTATGTCAGGTACACGTATAAAGTGTATGTGTCGGGTACCTGTCTCATGTACATGTACCCAATACCTATAAATATGGTATGTGTTTCCTTGGCTGGTGCTCAGCATTAATAGGACAAAAGTAGTCAGCTCGGGGCAGTATACTGTGTCTAAAATGGGTGTCCATGTCAAATTTGTATGTGACTTTAAACCTGACCTCATCTTACATCACCTCACCTCACCTAACCTCATCTTACCTCTAGGTTCAAAATTGACAATAACCTGGAATGAACAACACCTGCGTCAACTTCTGACAGATCAGCTCATACAGCTCGGCAGACATTGGCTGCCATCACTGTTGTCATGTGATGCATTTCAGACCGTGGCATCCATTGTCGACACACAACCAGGGTTACTGTCCACACACCAATGTTTTCCCAAGACTACCATGGGCAAATGCAGCATCGCAACACACAATACTGCATAGAATTCACAATACTGTAAAGATTTCGCAAATGCCAATGCAATGCAAGATAAGAAGACAATGTTCCAATATGATAAACATAGAGTAGCACAAACCATTTTATCAAACGTAATATAATTGACTTTGGACGTCTTAAGTCTTCAGGATAAAGGTTCTTCTGTTGACACACAATGACGGTGTTTCTGCAATTATGCTCAATGCTAGTATTCACAAAACAAAACACAAATAAGCACATCAAATTATAGGAATTGTTTAACCACGTAAGACACGTATTCTGACATGCATGTAAAGTGGCAGTGGAAATATTGATATCTCTGAAACATTTAGAATATAATGCATACGTTTATCAATAATTACACAAACATGCTCATATGTATAAGTACATCAATAACTGATTATTATATATTTGTAGTCATGACTTGCACGTCATCATGGACGAGATTTACGCGCTATCTGTGTTCGACGAAACTGCAACCTTCAACAGCGTCATGACCCTTCCTGTACCTGACATCATGAAGACACACATTGTCTGGGGATTTAGTAAGGTAGATGAGCTACAGCTAATGAGTGATTTTGTTTTATTCCGCTCTTAGCAATGTTCACCAATATCAGGGCGGATGACACCAACAAGAACTTAACATTATGTTCTCATTTCGGTGTACTGCTAGAAGATAGCAGGTGGAATCGACGTTTTGTTACCTTTTTCATTGTAGGTGATTATGATACATGACAGTTGTTGCTTTACATTCTTCATGGGAGTTGATTAGTATTTTGATACATGCTTTATGGGAGTTATGCTAGACGATGACAATCATTGTGATAATTCTTTCATGGTCGGTGATTATGACAACAGGTGGCAGAGTCGTTTTATTAAAACAGGATCAGGTTGTACTGCAGTTTATGGAATGCTGCAGGACCTTGGCCTCTCTGGGTACAGATGTGGTGTCCTACATACAAGGAACCAGCACATCCTCCAGTATGCAGAAAAAGTGGGGATTTTCCAGCAGGCAGCTGCTCCGGTACAACTAAAGCTGCAGGAACTTATCAAAGACAAAGGTGAACCTTCAAGGAATTACTCATCTAAATCTTTGAACACAGTATTATTCAAACGAAGGTCTGCACATGAACTTTAATCTCATTATACTTAAGAAAGTCAATATCTGTGTCTGCTTCTCATTGTTATTTCTAAAGTAACTTTATGTACTTACGTCTCATAGGACTTGAGTCAGTCAGTTCCCATATTTACATCACATTGTACTTAAGAAGGTCAATACCTGTCCACTTCCTGTTGTCCTTACAAAAATCAGTTTGTTTTTACATCTGGTATTACTTACAAATGTTATTACGCGTACGAATATCTCAGTGTACTTGAAAAAAGTCTTCACATGTACTTGCTAGATTGACAGTCAATACATTTATTCATATATTGCTAAACCTGAGATATTCTGAAAATCTACTCACATCTCATTATACATGAGGAAGTCATGTACACTGTTAAATATTGGTGGCAGTCAGAACATGTGCTTGCATTTTGATCAGCTTGATATGAGGTATAAACGATATGGAGATTCTGATCCTATTGGTTGCCATGTGGACAGAATGGCTTGACGACATCTACTTCCCTACGTACAAGCAACGTCTGACCGACAGCGTGACCTATGTCACTGGACGACTGGCAAAGTTAGGGGTCACAGTTCATCCAAGCAAGGCTGGCTTCTTTGCCTGGGCAGACATGTCGAAGGTACTTTTGTTACAACACGTTGGCAGTATGTTATCATTTGGACTTGTTCTCAAGAATAATGAGCCAGCTCTTACTATCAGTACAAGTCTAATTCTCGAAAATGAAGATACTTATTTCAACATGATTTTGAACCTACAGTGAATAAAGTTCAATGAGTGCAACTAATCTTCAAGGATGAAGTTTGATATTCGAGTTTGACTAACACTTTGACTTGGAACTCAGACATTGGATAAGTATACTCAGTAATGATTAATATAGTGAGTTTATGAGTAGAATATTGTATTATTTCTGCCTTGCTTATTTGTCTTGTACACATTTTGCATTGGTTTGAGTCTCAGTTTCTTTGTATTCTGTGTCTTGCATATATGTATTAAAACAATTTGGATTGCAAGCTGCCAATTGTCAATTACTAAAGATTAGAAGCAAATCACCTATCCCTGTAACTTTAAGTGTACTTTCCTCCAGCCGTTTATTCAGCATGTATATTTCCGTATCAAGGAGATCTAGGGGAAACAACTCTTAGTTGCCTAGCTGTGGCATTCTTTCCAATTCGGACCAAAGTGTACATGCATTGCAATGCAATTAGGTGTGTAGTAAGATAAATTCATTGTCCATGGATGACATAATAAGTTGTCAACTGATCCCGAGATGTACATCACATCATGAGGCATTGCTTGACAACGAATTTATCTCACTGATATTCATTCATACAAACCCAGAATATAATTTCACCGAGTAAAACGCTTTGATTCAGCTATTTTGGGAACTAGTAGACGATGCAAACTATTTTATTTCCCTTTACCCAATGCATTCGAATAAGCATAGGTTCATTTCAGCCAAAAGATACTTATGCAAGATAAGCAAGCTACCTAAAGTGTGTTTACACTGATTTTGCAACAGAGTACATGAGCGAACTGCAAGGAAAAAATTGCCCGCTCCTTAACCAATTGGAAGCTTGTATTTTAATGTAAGGTGAGATCAGAGCTGATGCATCCATGTCCCCCTTATAAGATAGGTAGACAGACAAGCACACACACACATATATATATACATACATACATATGTGTGTACTATTTAGTATCTGGCTGCTCCAACCTTCGAGGCAGAGGACCAACTCCAGGCTCGCTTTATCAGTGGAAAAGTCTACATCCTCGGAGGGCGCTCTTCATACGGCTCGGAGCCAGGCTGGTTCAGGATTGTGGTCTCAAATCAGATGACAATACTCCAGTTAGGTCAGTCAGCATGCTTCAGTCAACTCAGTAATTAAACTTGAAAATTCAAAATAACAAGATTTGTTATAAATGTTGATATATTGAAAATGTATATGTACTTCTTTCATATAGTTAGTTAGTTGACATTTAGTAATGACCGTTAGGTGCACATCATATATACATCCATATTTCTCAAATTGTCATAGTATTTAATCTGCTTCATCTCCTCTGACAATTTTGTATTTCACACAGGGATGGACAAGGTGGAGGCAGTGTTAAGAGGCACGCTGGAGCTGTAAGAGATTCACGAGGGATGGTGGAGCAGTAAGCTATGGGGAACAAGGAAGCAGAAGCCAATCCCCCAAGTCAAATTGATAATGTCATGTTAGTCCATCATAATAGCATTGTATACAAAGTTAATCGGTGTTACTGTATTTTGACAGTTCTGTAACAAAATAAACTCTATATTCATTTTGACCGATGTTTTATACATACTTGGTTGATACACCATTTAGGAGATAACCTTCTGTGTCTTCAAATATGTTGTGGTCCCATTGCAGATGAGATATGTCTTACTTTAATTTGGAACCTACGACGTAATAGGATGTATCCATTCTACAGTGGGGCTACATCACATTCTAAAATACATTCTACCATGACGGCAATCTTGGAACACATAATTACACATGTGAACAAGGGTTTGCTATCTGAGAACATTCCGAAAAGCAGGTAGTTATCAATGTATCACATATCCCCAAATTTCAAGATTAGAATACTCATAGTCTTGACTAGTTCAAAATAATGGTTCAAAACACAGAGTTTTCTAAAAATAAATTGTCAATTGTTTTGGTTTGTTTGCTGTGTAACGCCGCACTCAGCAATATTCCAGCTATATGATTGAGGTCCGTAAATAATCGAGTTTAGAACAGACAATGCAGTGATTGATGTCATCAACATCGATCCATGCAATTGGGATACAATGACATGCATCAACCACACAATCCCGTTAATCTTCTTACGACAAGCATAGTGTCTTCATTGTACCACCAGTCCCAGAACCACCCGTTTGGGCAGCTGGCCTCCAATCAGTTGATTTTTGTGGAAATCTTGCCCTCCTCCTGGAATGTAATGGACTGTGACTCGGACTCAGGTCAAACGATCAATGTAACCTTGACGTACATAAAACTCGGCTTTGGTCAGTTCAAATTGACAGTCTCGAGCACTGACCAAGTAAAAATCAATAGGCCTACAAATCAGGTGTAATGTCATGGAGACCCCATCCACCAAATAACGTTCTTAAGAAATAAGTCACAGTGTATACTGTACTGTCAGTTCTTCTTCTTGAGTGTCAGCGAGAAGAATATCCTGTCGTCATGCTACTGGTCCTGTGTAGGCTTTCTGGACCAGTTGAGCCTTGGAGCATTCACATGCATCTCAGTGCATCATCTTGACAAATCGTCTGGACAGGACATCTTGACAGGTGTTGACAGGTGTTGACAGGTCTTGACAGTACCGTGTCTGGTGTTGAACTGTGCCCATTCCCCTTCTGGACTGACATTTATGTTGGTTGATCCGTTTCAGGTACATCTCAACAAAACAGAAGCCAAAGCGGTTGGTGGTGGTGGTGGTGGTGGTGGTGGTTGTGGTGCAGACGTTGTGTTTGCACCACATCTGCCAAAGTGCTCTGCTCTGCTCTTCTCTTCCATTCTTCTTTGAATTTTTCTTTCACTTCTCCATCAGGACAAAAGACGGACAGGTATTCCCACGGGAATTTTGCATACTTCAGATATTCATGCCAGTGTTTGTCTGTGGCGTCCCATTGGCAGAGTACCACACCACAACAATAACAGATAACACCATCACCTCGACCATGATAGAAATAGCCAGCCATGGCCATATAAAAAGGGGTTTGTGTCGTCTGTTTAGGCAAAGTTTGAAAAGACCTCAGACGTTGTGGAAATTGATCATAGTCAGGATGAGAAGGGTTACTCAAGGTGTAAGGAGGAGCAGATCATGCATCCAGAACGTCACCAAGTTGCCATGTATCCATAGAGTTTGTTTTCTCTTGCTTGTTCTCTCGCCTTTTCAGACACTAACTCGGTATTAGGGACATCTTGGTATCATGACATTGCATTGATATTCATATTCTTGACACACACGAGTGGGAACACATCTGCACTGTAAGACAACTTGCTGATGTCTTTCAAAACAAACAATAGTCAAAGCTACGACTTTGTGTTTCTTGGTGATATGAGAGAGAGCAGGTTTGTGTTTGATGCTTCTTTTTCTATCTGCGGCTGCAGGCCTTGGTTGGTGTTGTTACAATGTGGTGAGTAATGCCTGTTTTCCATGGTGTTTCAAACTGTCCCTGATACTTCTATGTCCAGAACTGATATCTTCCACTAATCCAGGCAACATGTATGCTCCTGTTTTGAGTGCTGATATTCCTCGAGTCTTGAGTTGGACAGTGCTGATCGGCATGTCCTCGGTATGCTGTCAGGCCTTTTCCTTTCTGTTGTCCACCCAAACCGAGGGCAAAATGGTGGGTGATAAACTGGTGTCCAACCATGTTAAGAATAAGAAGGTACCCTGACAGTGTGAGAGGAAATGAATAGTCAAGATGGTCTTTCCACTCTGGAATGACACGGGACGTCCTACGTCATCCATTAAATAGATTTTGATGGCAAATGTGGTTCCCTGATGCAATCCCATGTAGCCTAGGTGTTGAGGTGTTTTGATCAAGACACATTCTTCCCTCATCTGACAGGACACAGGAACATACATGAGCAAAGAAGCCATTGTGTCCCCTACAATTTGATCTTTCCCCACATCCGAGTACATGGAGACAGTATCAAAACCAGCTCACTGATGATTAGATGAGGGTCAAAAACACCCACCTGGACAGGTACAGCAGAGGCATGGCTTCCTGATCTTCATTGACCATGGGTATGAAGGGGTGCGAATCCGAATTGCTCTTTGGCGTAGTTCACGGTCGTTGTGTAATGCCCTAAACCATCCGCTTGGTAAACATCAGCTATATACTTCTGTAACAGGTGTGAGCAGGTTTGTTGGTATCTGGACCACTTCTCAACTGGAAAAAAACACTTCTGTGCTAGTAATCCTGGTCATTTTTTCCAAGTTCATCATTATTCATCACAGACATCCTGTTAATACACCCTCATGGGACCAGACTGAACATGGAGGAGTGAGTGAGTTGGGATTAACACGGCTTTTAACAGTATTCCAGTTATATTACAGCGTGTCAGCTTAATGTGGGAGGAAAGCCAGAAGTGATGCAGGTCTCAGACATTTACCACTTCGGTGAAACCCAAGAGCACCGGTATGGTACTGACAAACCTAGAAACTTAATCAGGGCAAACCGGGATTCGAACCCACAATCATAGGTTTCTGGCATGCCCAAGGGACAAAACTCTGCACAGCGAATCACGGCGCCTTAGACAACTGGGCCAACCGTGCCCCCCGTCAAATGTTCAGACATGAAGGGTGTCTGCTGTTGTAAATGGTACTGCTGTTAAACTTCAACAGACAAGGACATGGCTGGATGTCTCTATTTATGGTAATGTAGGTGAGGGAGTGGGGGTAATGGGGGTGGTAATGCCTCTGATGAAGTTTTCTTATGGGCTTGGCTCCTTAACACCATTCGTGTCAAGGCTGCATCAGGGGCTGCTGCTGCTGTTGATGCTGTTGGTCAACACATCTTGGTGTCACAACAACCGGGACTGATGCTGAGTCTTCAAGAAACATGCCCTTCTCGAAGATTTCTCAAACCATTGCAACAAATGATTACGTCCTTTGAGGGCCACATTTTCCTTTGAAGGAATTCATTTTGCTTTGCTTTTTGGTTGTGCTTAGCATGGTGGAATGCCTTGAGTGGTGGTTGGGAGACGGCAACGGGGTGATGGTTCATTTAGGACATCAGACTAGCAAACTTTGCATGGCAGACCGATGCTGTTTGGTTTGATCAATACCTAGGAAGGTACGTAATGTTTTTCGGGCAGATTTAACCAACCATGTGGGTTACTGGAGCAGCTGGGTGGGAATCACCTGTTTCTGTCTGCGCATCATGACTGCTAAGTGGCAACTGAACCCTGGGGTGGAGGACGGTCTCTAATTATGCTTTTACTTGGCAATGTAGAGGGTGGTAGTGTTGTGAAAGAGATGGCTACATTCACGATGTTCCTTTAACATGGTGGGTTTCAAGTTCAAAAACAAGAAGGAACAAGCATGAAATACTCATACCCCGCCAATATGACATGTCCGGTTGTGTGCAATGCATCAGCTCCTGTGAACTATGTTCACTGGACCTTCTTGTAAAAGGCCTAATTGCAGCACTATAAAATGTTATTACTGGCGTTGTTTTGCCATCTGCAGTTTATGATAGAATACGTAACTGTATTTGTAATGAGTAATAATGAGACATATGGACGAACAACTTCTTTATTACAATTAGGAGCGACGTTTCGGTGTAGGTTCTAACACCGTTATCAAGCAAGTGAAGTACAGAGTATGGTTGACAAGAATATATATAGGATAGAAGGCAGTGTTTATACAGTTGAGTAGATTTAAGATGCCGTTCCACTGTTGTATTTGTATTGAGTTGCGTTATTACTTCAACAATAATCAGAGAAGTAAGGAGTTCTTACTTTACTTAGAGATCAATGAGAGCAGGGGTCACCATGAGGTGTACTGAGAAGTACAGCACCAATCATCTGATGATCTGAGTAGTAGACTGGAGTCTGGAATGCTACAGCACTGGCATGATCAGTAAACAACAAGTCCAGTGTAGCTCCAAGACAGTGAGTTGGAGAGTGAATGAGTTGAGTCATTTTCCACACATTAAAGATATCTTCAAGTTTCAGATTTTCACTCAGATCACTGTTGAAATCCCCAGTAACTAGGACATGTTCACATTCATGCTGCTTGGAGAGATCCTGAAGTTTCTGCATGAAGTTAGTAAGTGAATGCCACAACCGTGTCCAGGACACGTTTGGAGGAACATACACATAAGTAATGTAGAACTCGCAACAAGAACGGAAATGTATTCTATACTGTGAGATGACATTACATCACATAGCTGGACACTGTTCTTGAAACTTGTAAAAACATACACAGCAAAACCATGTGTTGTGTCTCCTGGACAGACTTGATATCCTGGCAGGTCTCTTTCACTGTAAACATTGATGTGTGTTTCTGTGAAACACAAAACATCAAGCACACCAACAAACATATCCTTCTTCACGAGGGATCAAACTTCAAGTGAGCCACCTTGAGTCCATCACCATGAATGTTCTCTACAGGGTGTCACCACTAGACCTATCTATGTGCCAAGTTTGGTTAAGATATCTCTCACGTTTTTTTGTGATCTGCTCCGGAAACGAAGGAAGGATGGAAGGACGGAAGGATGGCAGGACGGAAGAATGGATGGACAGCACCCATTCCTATATCCCCTTCCACTT